AGCAGCATCTCCGACCAGGTATGGCAGCACTTTGGAGACATCTTTCAGATACCTATGACTTCAGGGGAGGGGGTCAGACGGAGGTTCCAGAGATGGCGTTATTCTGGACAGCACGTTTCCCGTGGACACATTCGTATTATCATTCCTCTACTGATATTTTGGTTTCTATGGACTGAGAGGAATGATGCGAAGCATAGAGGTATTCGTATGGTGGCCAGACGTATTATTTGGAGAGTCTACCGCATGATCTCCTTTCTTCATATGGGAGGACTATTCCGAGTTGAGCATTGGCGAGGAGATGTGACACTTGCATCCTTTTTTGGCTCTTGAATCGAAGCCCATGCTGTCCCATCTCCATTATGCATATTTAGGAGATTATACAATACTTCAAGTAATCATTGCGAATGATATGACAAGGGAAGAGAAGAATAAATTGTTGGAGATACTAAGGATGCACAAAATGAAAATTAGATGGACAATAGCCGACATCCGAGGAATCAGTCCAACTCTTTCCATGCACAAGATTGTAATGGAGGATGTGTCAAAGCCATCGGTGGAAGGACAACGCAGATTAAATCCAACCTTGAAAGAAGTAGTGTGAAAAGAAGTGCTGAAATTGTTGGATGCAGGTATTATCTATCCAATCTTTGATAGTTCATGGGTGAGTCTAGTGTATGTTGTGCCAAAAAAGGCTGGAATTACAGTGGAGAAGAACGAGCGGATACCTACAAGATTAGTGATAGGATGCAGAGTATGTATAGATTACAGGAAGTGAAACAATACAACCAGAAAGGATCATTTTTCATTGACATTCATTGATCAGATGTTGGAGAGGTTGGCCGGTCATTCTCATTACTACTTTCTGGATGGATATTCTAGGTACAATCAGATAGTTGTTGCTCCAGAAGACCAAGAGAAAACAACCTTCACATGCCCCTATGCAACTTTTGCGTTTAGAAGGATGCTTTTTGGTTTATGCAATGCACCCGCAACCTTTCAACGGTGCATCATGGCTATATTCTCTGACATGGTGGAAAAATACATCGAGGTATTCATGGATGATTTTTCTGTGTTCGGAGATTCATTTGATGATTGCTTGGATCAGTTGACTCTTGTATTGCAAAGATATGAAGAGAAGAACCTAGTGCTAAATTGGAAAAAATGTCATTTCATGGTAAAAGAGGGGATAGTGCTGGGCTACAGGATTTCCTCAAAGGACATTGAAGTTAACAAAGCCAAGATACAAGTGATTGAAAAATTGCAGCCTCCTAATTCAATTAAGGGGATCAGAAGCTTCTTAGGATATGCAAGGTTTTATAGAAGGTTCATTAAGGATTTCTCTAAAATTACAAAACCCCAGTGTAATCTATTGGAGAAGGATGTGTCATTTCACTTTTCTGATGAATGCTTAAATGTCTTTAATACTTTGAAAGAAAAGTTAACTTCTGCACCTGTAATAGTAGCACCTGATTGTGATCTAGCTTTCAAACTTATGTGTGATGCTAGTGAGTTTACAGTGGGAACAATGCTTGGCCAATGTAAAGGAAAAGTGTTACATGCAATCTACTATGCCAGCAAAACCTTGACAGATGCTCAGATCAACTATGCAACAACGGAAAAAGAGATGCTAGCAGTAGTTTTTGCCTTCGACAAATTTCGTTCCTATCTGATTGGTTCAAAGGTGATAGTCTACACTGACCATGCAGCATTGAAATATCTGTTTGAGAAGAAGGATGCTAAACTAGGCTGATTTGATGGGTTCTGTTACTGCAAGAGTTTGACATTAAAATTCGCGACAAAAAGGGTACAAAAAATCAGGTAGCAGATCATTTATCAAGGCTGGAGCAACTGCGTGACTCGGATGATGTGGATATTAATGAGGTTTTCCCAGATGAGTAGTTATTATAGATAGAAAAGGCTCTGTGGTGTGCAGAAATTGTTAATTACTTGGCTAGTGGCTATGTGGATCCTGATCTCACCCATCAGCAGAAGAAGAAGCTACTTTATGAAGCGAAATTCTATTATTGGGATGATCCAAATTTATACGGGAGAGGGTTAGACCAGATCATTAGGAAATGTGTGCCAGAGGATAAGATGAAACATATCCTTTCATGGGTTCATGCTTCGGCTTATGAAGGACACTTTGGCCCCACTAAAATAGCAGCAAAGGTGCTTCAATGTGGTTTCTTTTGGCCCACATTATTCAAGAACTACCACAGTTTCTGCAGATCATGTGATCAATGTCAGAGAATAGGTAATATATCAGCGCGTCAAGAGATGCCACTTAACAACATTTTGGAGGTGAAAATATTTGATGTTTAGGGGGATTGATTTTATGGGTCTGTTTCCATCATCTTATAACAATCAGTACATCCTAGTGGCAGTAGACTATGTCTCTAAATGGGTAGAAGCTAAAACATTGCCTACAAATGAGGAAATGGTAGTGGTAGACTTCATAAAGAAACACATCTTTAACCGATATGGATCACCTAGGGCCATAATAAGTGATGGTGGAACTTACTTCCGCAATTGGTTATTCTAGGTAGTGCTGCATAAGTATGGGGTACAACATCGAATTGCCACTCCTTACCACTCTCAGACAAGTGGATAGGTGGAAACCTCGAACAGACAATTGAAAAGAATTCTGGAGCTCACTGTGAATGTAGCTCGCAAGGATTGGTTAAAGAAATTAGACGATACAGTATGGGCATATCGCACTGCTTACAAGACACCTATTGGGATGTCTCCATATCGATTAGTTTTTGAAAAAGCAAGCCACCTACTAGTGGAGTTTGAACATAGAGCATACTAGGTATTGAAGCAATTAAACATGGGCCTCGAAAAG